TTAAAAAAAAAAAAACACTGGGTGGATTTTTATCATTATAGGGTGGTTGTGTACACACACTGCCAACACACATTTCAGTTCAAACAACTTGTAAAAGTGCATGTAGCATCCGATGACCCCTTTAATAATTCTTGCACTAATATTAGAAAAAAAAAAAAAAATGAAAACTGGAAACTGAATAATATATCTCAGACATTAAACACTGGTAAACGTTTAGGGTGAGAAGGATGCCTCTAGACCTAGAAACATTCACTGACCTTGTCTAACCAGAAAAATTACTTCATTTCATTCAGCACACAAATTATCCAGTTAAAGATTAATAAAGATAATAACTAAATGATTAAAAAGACTGATAAACAGCTATAAAACTACCGTTTTTCATGTTTAATGCTCATGTTACCTTCATGATGGGCAGCAGATCCTCCACTTTATTCACATTTTCCAGAGCCTGCTTTACTTCCTGAAGCGCCCGCTGGTTATACGCCCTGATGGAGAAAAACACGTGCATGAAAATTATTCAAATGTATTAATAAATGGACAATGAATAAAAGTTAAACAGTATGTGAGTGAATGCATGCATGAATGAATTTATATATTATAAAAATTAAGGTGTTTGAAGAAAATAATGAATGAATAAACGAACACTTTTTATAACTGAATGGTGAAGTGTTTGACTGAATGTACAGGGTATAAAATAAAATGTACACTACTGTTTAAAAGTTTGGAAACAGTAAGATTTTTGTTATGTTTTTGAATAAAGTCTCTTATGCTCACCTAGGCTGCATTCATTTGATCAAGAATACAGTAAAAACAGTCATATTGTGAAATATTATTACAATGTAAAATTACTGTTTTCTATTTAAATTTTTTTTTTTATGGAATTTATTCCTGTGACGCAATGTTGAATTTTCAGCATCATTACTCCAGTCTTCAGTGTCACATGATCCTTCAGAAATCATTCTAATATGCTGATTTGCTGCTCAATAAACATTTCTTATTATAATCAATGTTGAAAATATTCTGTTTGATAATTCTGTGGATGAATGAGAGTTGTGAATTAATGAGGTGTGTGTGTTATTAAATTAGTAAATGAAAGAACTAACAAACAATTGTGTTAAGCTTTTATCAGTATATTTTTTTAAAACATTCTGCCTTCCAAAATAAATAAAACACACAGACACACAGACACACACACAGAACACACACACACACACACACACACACACACAAAGAGACTTACCCATGATAAACCAGTATTCTTTCCTTCACAAAGCTGAGAATACTACTGAAATACTCCAGATATCTGATATTAATGATCTGGCCTCTGTGAAACAACAGAAAAAACAACGAAAACACTATAAAACAACCATAGCAATAGAGTTTTAAGTCTGTTTCACACCACAAGTGTGAGCAGCACATATTTTTTCGGCACCTATGTTGACAGGTTAGAACTGGGGTCTCAAACTCAATTCCAGGAACCTAAAATATGTGTTAAAAAACCCTGAATAACTGTGATATACGACTGGCGCTGAGCGATGTGAGTGTAGCAGCTGATCACGGTGCACGCTGAACGCTATAAACATACTAGTTTGCTTGTATCCGTCAAAGTGTTAATGTTTACAAGAAAAGCACTAAATGAGACATTTCACTTGTACGTTTCAAAAATGTGCTCGCAGGCCGCATGAAAACAGGTGACAGGCCAGAATTGGCCCAAAGGCCTCAAGTTTGACACCCGTGTCTTCACAACGAAAGCAGAAGCAGCAGGCAGAGCGTCGAAGCGCTTTTCACAAGACTTGCGGTTTCAATGAAAATGCTTGCTTCAGTGTTTCAATCAGAGAGTATTCTAACAGGAAGTAAAACTAGTCATACTCTGCTCACGCTTGAGGTGCGAAATTGGCTGCATCTTCTCTGTACAGAATTGTCATTAATGATACCAATATTAGCATATACAATATTAGTAAGATTTAATATTGGCATGGTATCTATTTTCATGGACAGCACACTGTAGGGCTGCACGATTTGGCGGAAAAAATATCTAATTTATTTATTGATTAAAATTTTTTTTTTTAAAAATCGAAGTTTTCTTTGCTTGTTTGTAAGGCTACATAAATTGGCCGGCAGTTTAAAAGCTATTAAATAATATCAATATTAATACTATTAATACTAATAATTCTAATAATAATCATAATTTTTACTACTATTAAATAATAATATAAAAATGACAAACATTTACAAATAAAAACTAAATAAGAAATATTACTATTGTAATGTTTCAACGTAAAATAAAAAATATATAATAAAAATAGAAATTATATCATAAAAAATATATAAATAATATAAAACAGAATAATTTTATTCTACATTACAACTTTAAAATTATAATATTAATATCTACTGCTGTCTTAATTTCATTTCATCCAACTAACTTACATTTTGCTGGAAAACCACAGGGTGCCTTTTAAAGCTTCTTTTTTCCCCCCCACAAAATTTACAACAATATCGTTCCTTCGTTACAGTTGTGGTCGTGGAGAAATAAAATAATTATTAAAACTACATGGTTCTAGTTATCATCCTTGGTGCGAATGGCCCTCAAAAGTCAAACAAAGTTCTTAAGCGATTAGGACTAGCCGCTTTACAGAGCAAATGACAGGTTAAGGGCAGATACAGCACCTGATGAGGTTAATGTGGTTGTTAAATCCTCTGCTAAGACTCCTGGCAGGCATCTGTTCCAACCACAGCACAGGCTGGTCTGGATCTGCAATCCTGCTCACGCCCGTGAACACACACACACACACACACACACACACACACACACGCACACCAGCAAAGATCAGTCATCAAGCCCTGGTAACACCCTCCACAGAGCCGTGAGAAGAGCTCAGGAACGCTGGCTGGAATCTGACCTTCTCCATTTCACTGCGATGTCAAACATGTCTCTCCACTGCAGCTGTCTGGTCTTTCCGTTGACTCGGACCTTCGAGTTACTCCAGGTGCGCTGCATGGCCTGCATCACCTCTATGGTGGCCAAGCCCATTGCTACACAAAACACACAATAATTAAAAATGCAATTCATAAGTATCATGACTTGAATGCACCTCTTCTATGATAAGCATGCTTTTTATTTTTGTATACTACGGGGCCGTTGAATGCTTGAATCTGATTGGCTGACGAACGTTCTGAGGTGTGCAATTATTTTCAGGGAAACGCAGGGCGAACGTAGTTCCAGGCAGCTCTCTTGACCGCATTACAGTTCCATATCACTTCGCATAGTTAACTGTAATAACGGAAATTAGCATACATTACCTATACAGCACACAGAAATTACTGCAATCACACGTGCTCGCACACGCACACTACGGTCACGCAGTTTGCACAAAAAGGTGTTGGCCGTTGAATTATTAGAAAAATAATGCCGCTTCGCGTCGTGGCCGCATCACCACCTCGGTGTGCATTATTTTTCTAATAATCCAACGGCCAGGAGTCAATTATTCCTTACTTACAATTCATTTTGATATTTTTTGGAAACAAACGTTTTAATATCATAACGAAGAAAAAAGTTGAAAACCATATTAAGTAGGCATAGGATTTTATTGTTATTTCTACGATGAAAAATGTACCAATAAAATTTATTAAAAATTCATTAAAAAAAAATCACTGCTTATTACTTATTATGAGCAAACACTTGTGGTCCAATCAACATGCAGAAAAAAACAGCATAAATCAGAAAATGATGTCACAGCTTTTGACTTTTTAATGACATTACAAAAAAAGTCCTGTGGTGCAACTGATAAAAAAACAATGATATTTATAACTTCATAATTCATGATATTTGCTATTAAACCCAGAAAATTATAATTAAAATATAATTAAAATATGATTGTTTATGTATTCAAGGTGCAAAGAAAATGTGTTATCAAATTTAATTTGAAGGCTGCACCACATGACTTAATATTTGTCTTTATTTAGTCATTTAAACTTTTCTATATTTATATTTGCATCACTATTATTTAGTGATTTTAAAGAGCTCTGATCTCAAATATAAAAAAATGGTAAAAAAAAAATATTTTTTTAATAATATATGTAAAAACATGTAAAATTACACTGAGATGTATTAAAGTGTTCTTTTTTGAACCACGTGTTATTGATATATTTTTTATTATTTAATAATTTTATTTTATTTAAAATTTTTAATTATTTAATTCTTTAAAAAAAAAAAAAAGTCTGATTGTATTATTAAGCGCTTTTAAAGAGCTCTGACCTCTGTGTACTCTGAGGTTTGGTAAGAACCCTAAAGTGTCGTACTGCATCAGTGCGCCGAGGCGATCCGCTGTACAGATCAGCTTCTGGACTTCAGCAGAGTAACTGTCAAAGTTCTGAGGTAGAACATCTCTACAATCACAAAACAAGCAGGGAATAAAAGAAAGACACAACATGCAAAAGCATACTAATTATCTCATTATTTATACATGATGCCCCAAAACACAAAAGACTCAGTCTGCATCTAAACTCACTTAATATGAGGCTGAAGTCCAGGCTGTTCTTCATAATCCTCGATGAGGAAGGGAAGATTTTTTGCCCAGTGGTTTTTAAAGTTTCCAGGCAAATCCTGATCAACATTATACTCCACAACAGGTACATCCAGATGAGAGTGTAGATAACGGGAGTATTCTATCACATGAGAGACAGAAACAGAGGCATATTTCAACTCCAAATCATTATCTAAACACTTCATAGTAACCTTTTATTAAAGGGGTGAAATCAAATTGATTACAATTTTATTTTTCATGTAATATAATTACTATACTACAAATATACACACACACTACTGTTCACATGTTTGGGGAATTTTTCTTTTTCCAAGTAAATGCTGTGCTTTTGGAACATCAAGGATCACCAACAAAAGGAAATATCACGGTTTCCATGAAAATCTGTTTTTAATACAGATAATAAATGTTTCTTGCAAATGTCAAATCAGCATATTAGAATGATTTCTGAAGGATCGTGTCACTAAAGTGATTTATATGTTTAAATAAAATGTATTTGAAATTGTAATAATATTTCACAACATTACTTTTGTACTGATTTTCTGATTTAAAATAAAAAAAATACTTTTTTTTTTTACACTTTAATCTGAACCAGGTTGATGCATCACATCATTTAATAATGATCTGAAATTAGAACATATATTTACACCTCTATTACAGGGCTCAACAATAAGGATGGAGTGGAACCAATGTGATTTTATTTACTTTCGTGACTGATATGTTTTCTACAGTAAGATGTATGAAACTGCTGTTGCTAATTTTGCTGGATTATGTCCCAAGATAACACTATCTATCTGGCTAACACAGATACTGAAGCTAATAAGAACTAGTGATTATGTAATGTTTGTTAATGACCTAATAAAAAAAATGATTGTGTAATTTCTCACCTCTAAGATATTTGACTTTGAGATACTCGGAGCTGGCTTTCTGTCCCAAGAGAGGGTCGTTGAGCATGGTAAGAACTAGTGATTATGTAATGTTTGTTAATGACCTAATAAAAAAAATGATTGTGTAATTTCTCACCTCTGAGATATTTGACTTTGAGATACTCGGAGCTGGCTTTCTGTCCCAAGAGAGGGTCGTTGAGCATGACTTTAGTCTGAGCTTTAATGCCTTCGTAGAACTGGCCCATGGCCACATGACTGAGACCCTTCATGTACTGACACACTTCATTATAGGGCTCCAGCTGCAGACATCTCTGAAAGACATGATAAAACACACTACTGAAACAAACATCCACAGGACTCTGAGCCCGCGACACAAATCCAAATGTACAACACAAGCGAGAACCGTCATCATCTGACCAGAAGAACTCAAAAATGTGTTCGTTTTGAGATTCAATACAAGAATTAATTAAAACGTTACAAGAAAGAAAAAAGAAAAATACTGTGTTGAAAGAAAAACAATCATGTATAAGTGACTTTAATGAACTTAAAAAAAAAAAATCAATGTTATTGATATTGTAAAGAAGGACTTTGGAGTTGCACTACTCTACACAGGCCATCTTGACTGGAAAAAAATTCTACTTGATCTTCAATAGAGACAGAAAAATACAGTCCCACATAAGTGATGCAAATGAATCTGAGTTTGTAGAAAGAACTTAAAAAGAAAGTTCACCCAAAAATTACAATTCTGGAGTTTACGCATCCTCATGTTGCTGTAAACCCATAAGCCTTTTGTTTGGCTTCAGAAACACAGATGAACGAATGATAATTTTCTGCGAGAACTTAACTTATTGGTTCTTAAAGTCACCATGAAATCAAAATTAAAGTTTTTTGGCTGTTAGTATCAACATGTTAGTCTTAATGTTATCTATAAGGCAGTGTGCTCCAAAACAGTTCAAATGCGGCTTTACGGAGCTCAACGGAACAGCTCTAGCCCAAGCTGTGATATAAACTATTGGCTATTTTTAAAAAGGGGCGGGGCTGCTTGATATGTCCCGCCCTGTCTTCCTGTTTCAGTTAAAATGACGTCAACACAGAGTAACGCTGCGTGTTTAAGCGTTTCAGGGGACCTTTAAGTGTCGAACAAGAGCTTTTAAGCTTCTGTTTACCATATTCAATGTGATCTATGTATGTGGGATAATTGATGTTTATACTTAAATAAAAACCTCAATTACATTTTGATTCATATGGATTACTTTTACGACGTCTTTATGAACTTTTTGAAGCATGTGCAATGGACATTGTGATAGAGGAACAGAAATCTCTCAGGTTGCATTTAAAACATCTTTTGTGCTTCAAAGCTGGACAAAAGTCTTGTGGGTTTTGAACAACATAAGGGTGAGTACAGAAGTTTCATTTTTGGGTGAACTTTGACTCTACTAGCAGCATGTATTGTCAATTACAAAATAAAATAATTTTGAGTTGTCCCTCACTTTGAAATATCACTTAATAGATAAAATAAAATAAACAAATAAAATAATTATTTGCTTACAAGTCTATGGTTCAAGGTATTCTAAAACGATTTTAAAGCATAAATGTGAATCTTTTATTTTTGTTCAAGCTTATAAGAACTGATATTAATTCTTCTGTATTCTTATTCATTTTACTGCAATGTAATGTACTTCCCATTAAAACTGACTATTTACTGGGAAATAATGTTCAGTGGGATTTGATTTTATCTATCAAGTATTGTTTTGATTGGAACATTACATTAAGTAAACAGCCCACTTAAAATCTATTTTACTTCATGTTGTTTTTAAGGATTACTACTGGCAACAAAGAGATAAACATAGCACCACTTGGGACACACACACACACACTTGATTTACCTTAAAGTTGCCAATGGCCTCCTGCAGGCTGCCGTGATGGTACAGCATCATTCCTCTGAGCTGGAGAGACTGGATGTGGTTCTGATCCAGTAACAGAGCTTTCTGGAAGCTCTCCATAGCATTCTCAAAATCACCCAACTCCCTGAACACACACACACACACACACACACACACACACACACAATTGTCTGCAGAGAAACATCTGAAAAAACTGACTGTTAAAATCATCATGAGTCAGTAGCAGCTCACCTGTAAGCCTGACCCAAGCTTTTATATGCATCTATGAAGTCTGACTTCAATTTGAGAGCTTCTTTAAACACCTCTATAGCCTCCTGCATGCAGAAAACATAATTTAAGTAGACAGTTACAGTAAATATAGTCTATTGTAAAACGTGTAAAATGGTAAACCTCTTTTCTTTCAGTCCAGTTCTTACATCTAAACTACATAAGGTTATTTAAAGGGATAGTTCACCCAAAAATGAAAAAATGTATGTTTATCTGCTTACCCCCAGGGCATCCAAGATGTAGGTGACTTTGTTTCTTCAGTAGAACACATATGATGATTTTTAACTCCAGCCGTTGCAGTCTATCAGTTGTATAATGCATGGCAATGGTAACAAAATCTATGAGAGTAAAAAAAACATGCACAGACAAATCCAAATTAAACCCTGCGGCTCGTGACGACACATTGATGTCGCAGATAAACATCAAATTTTCATTCTTGGGTGAACTATCCCTTTAACCAGGGCATTCTGAATTTGGTTTTTCCACTTGTACAAAAGTAACACATCTGTGATTTTATTTTTTTTTATTTACCTTAAGGAGGCCCCTGTGGAAGAAGGTCAGGCCTTTATAGAGCATAGCGATGGGCTGGTTCTTCTTCAGCTCTAGAGACTGCTGGAAATCCTCCATGGCTGCCATATAATCCTGAAAGACAATGAGAGAAAGGAAGGTATCTGTAAATATTATAAAATATTGAGCAATTAAAACAACATCTTTCAAAAGTTTGGAGTTTTAAGAAATATACATTCATAGTTTCATTTAGCAAGATTCATTAAATTGATTAAAAATGGCAGGAAGGATTTTTACACAAAAAAAAAAAATCTATTACACAAACAAACAAACAAAATCCTATTTCACATCAATGCTGTTGTTCTGAACAGTAAAGAATCCTGCAAAAAAATGTATCACAGTTTCAACAGAACAACTATTTCCAACAGTGATAATAATACATGTTTCTTGATTCTTCATGAATCATTCTAATATGCGGATTTAATGCTCATGTGACACTGAAGACAGGAGTAACGATGCTGAAACATATTAAATATATTAAAATAGAAAACAGTTGTTTTAAATTGTAATAATATTTTAACAATTTTACTGTTTTAACTGTATTTTGATCAACTAAATGCAGCCTTGGTGACATTTATAGACTTAAAAAAAAAAATCTTACTGACCCCAAATCTTTGAAAAGTTGTGTATATATTCCTTTAATAATATGTAAAATAACAAGCCAGAATTGATGTATACATTAAAAACCTGCACTATAAATGATTATCTTCTTGTTTATTTCTTTTATCAACGGGGTTGGATAAAAAAATAAAAATAAAAATAAAAAAAAAATAAATTAAAAACCTGCACTATAAATGATTATCTTCTTGTTTATTTCTTTTATCAACGGGGTTGGATAAAAAAATAAAAATAAAAATAAAAAAAAAATAAATTAAAAACCTGCACTATAAATGATTATCTTCTTGTTTATTTCTTTTATCAATGGGGTTGGATAAAAAAAACAAAAAAAAAAAATCAAGAATGGGCTATTTTTCCAATTCATAAGCTGGAATATGACAGGAACAGAACACAGTAAAAAATTTAATTAGTCCAACAAAAGTTTTGCGACAAAATTACATGATTAATTAATACTAATATCTCAAAGCAACAACCAGTTTGCTTTGGAGGTTTAAAAAAACGGTCATGGAAAACTAACAGGGAAGTCACATTAGCAGTTAAAAAAGGTCCATTTTCAATTGTCAACAGTGTAGAGATGTATGTGGCACAGCTCACACAGAAGTTAATTTCAAACCAAGCAGCTTTCTGTTTTTAAATGCAGCAGATCTGCATGACTAGAAAATATTTATCTGCGTGGGGAAATTTTTCACCCTTATGTAAAAATCCCAATCGCATGGATTCTTTTTTAAATGACTGGATTTCATCCATGAAACTTTGCAGATCAACATTACCAGTGAACGCACTTTAAATTACAACCGCTTCATAGTACAATAAACCCTTATCTCATAAGATAAAATTGGTTATTCATGATATGACCCCTACAATTAAAAACTCACTTATCTCTTTTTATATCACGCTGTAGTATTATTATTTTTTTTATGATTCATACTTTTTTCTTCAGTGGGCAAACAATACATTTCATTTACAGACAATTAATTGTTTTGTAAAAACCCCTTCCCCTAACCCACCCAAACAACGTGTCAAGCACAATTATATGTAGATTGCTATCATAAATCCAATAAACACAAATAAACGAAGTAAGCTTAAAGGGGGGATACACTCTTACAATGTGTAGCACCACAAAGACACACTGCAGTATTTATAATGCATCAATCAAGTTACTGTTCAACTGGATAACAATAAATATCTTCACTTGTGCTAAAGCTGACAAACATGAAGTTTCTGGACTCTGTACCCAGACAGAACCAGCGCTATCTTTCCGCTCTGGACATTATATAAAGTGATCTGTAAAAGTGTAGATCTACCTCAAAATCGAAGTGCATCCTGAGAGATAAGACGGCCGTGTCGTGTGTGTACCTCTGATATGAAGAGCAGTGTTCCTCTGTGTCTGTAGAGTCGGGCTGAAGGCTGCAGTTGTATGGCTTTAGTCAGATCAGACAGAGCTTCACTGATGCGGCCCAGAGGAGACAGAATCTGAAATCACACGCTTCATTATTACCACTCATGCCTTATAAACAGTCTTAATTAGCAGTGAAATACATTTTTTATTTTAATTTGAAGGATGTCAATCCCTTGCTCCTCACCTCGGCCCTCTGCTCGTATACTTCTGGTCTGCTGGGCTCCAGTGCAATAACTCTGCTCAACTCATACAGAGCCAAGTCTGCATTCTTTATGTCCTTCAGAGAGAGAGTTACCTTCATTTATATGTACAGCTATGGCTAAAATTGCTCATATATTTGTAGTGTTTGATAAAGCAACATACATAAACTACCGTTCAAATCGTTGGAATAATTAAGATATTTTAAATGTTTTTGAAAGTCTATTATACTCGCCAAGGCTGCATTTATTTGATTAAAAATACTGTAAAAACTGTAATATTGTGAAATATTAAAATAGAAATGTGTTATTTTAAAATTGTAATATGTATTAAAATGTAATTTATTCCTGTGATGTAAAGCTGAATTTTCAGCAACATTACTTCAGTCACACGATCCTTCAGAAATCAGTATAATATGCTGATTTAGTGCTCAATTAATCAGTTGTTATTTGTGCTCAATTATCAGTTCTTGCTTAATATATTTTGTGGAAACCATGGTGCTTTTTTCAGGATTGACTTGAGGAATAGAAGGTTCAATGAACAGCATTTATTTAAAGAAATCTTTTATTGTCATGTTTGCTCAATTTAGTGTGTCCTTGCTGAATAAATTTTAGTGCTGTCAAACGATTAATCGCGATTAATCACATCCAAAATAAAAAAAGTGTTTACATAATATATGTGTGTGTGTACTGTGTATATTTATTATGTATATATAAATACACACACATACAGCATATATTTTGAAAATATTTACATGTATATATTTATATTCATATAAATTATATCATATATAAATATATTTAATATAAAACGCAACATATTTTTCTTAAATATATACATGCATGTGTGTTATATATATATACATAATAAATATACACAGTACACACACATATATTATGTAAACGAAAAAAAATTTTTTGGGGATTTGATTAATCGCGATTAATCATTTGACAGCACTAGTTTTTGTTTTTGGGGGGTTTTTTTACGCTAAACTTTCTATTATGTGACAATGACGACTGGAATAATAGCTGCTGAAAATTCAGCTTTGACATCAAATGAAAAAGTTAAATTTTAAAATGTTCTTATAAATTGTTTTTAGTAGTGCTGTCAAACGATTAATCGCGATTAATCACATCTAAAAGCGCTAGTTTTTACTATAGTTTTTGATTAAAAAATCTAGTCTTAGGAGACTTCTTTCAAAAACATTTTTTAAAAATCTTAATTATTCCAAAGGTTTGACTGGCAGTGTTAAACAAAAGACTGACCTGCAGACTCTTTTTGCCGTAGGCTATTCCCCGTCCATAGATGGCACTGACCAGCTCAGGATCTCCCTGGTGACAGAGGACAGTTCTTTTGTGAAAAAGGGCTTATAAAAAGTTCACTATTACCACACAATCAACTTCTTGTTTAATACTACTACTCAACCTTAGTTAGGGTGTTTCTGTTGATATTAATTTAACTGTATACTGATATACTAATATTTCAACATAAAATGGCCTTCACAACTTTCACTTCTAGAATGCGGATATAGGATATTCATTGCAAAAAGAAAAAAGAAAATACAAGCAACTTTATATCCAACTGAGTGGATCATGAAAAGGGTCCAATAACAAGGAAACAACAAGATAACCAAATGATTCAGCCATGTGACATCAAAATGTGGCTCCTCTGAGCTGCGCGTTCACACTGTGTGAGAAATTCTTTGCAATATTACTTACTATAGCAACACTATTAATGCTAAAAAGAATCTGTCTAATTTGAGTAATTAACAAAAAAAACACAATACAAGAAGTAATAGTAGTGCAAATGGATTTTAATAAGCTTTTTTTATTTATTTCTTTTTATATATAAAGCTTATTTATTTTATTTAAGAGCTGCATTAACTACATTAAACTATATTTTATATTGTTTGATTACTTTCAGATTATTCTTGCATTTTTAAGACATTAACAGTAGTCAGTTGTAGAAATAATTAAAGGGATAGTTCACCCAAAAATGAAAATTCTGTCATTAATTACTCACCCTCGTGTTGTTTCAAACCCGTAAGACCTTCGTTCATCTTCAGAACACAATTTAAGATATTTTTGATGAAATCTGATTAATGACAGAATTGTCATTTTTGGGTGAACTAACCCTTTAATTATTACAAGATCGGAGCTGAGTTTACAAGTAATTATGAGTTCTGCGAGGATGTGAATGCTTTTAACAAATGGGAACTAAAATATCATGCGCAACAAGGCCAGAAACTTTAATTATGATGCTAAATGGGGGACAGCGTTGATTTCATGTTGATTTTAACACCAAAAAAACATTGTATCATTATGTTTACTTCAGTCCCAACAAAACTGACCTGTAGCAGTAATGAGAAGTGCTTGATAGCTTCATCATACAGGCCATTTCCAATGAGAACATAGCCAATGGCTGAAATAAACACAAAACCGTGTTAACAGAGAACATCATCCAAAGACAAGCACAAAAAACACACTTGCCAAAGTCAAAACAATGAGCTGATACACACCAAGTTCTTCATTGGTATTTTGGTTTTCCACAGCGAAAGGAAACCGACGCTGTTCGACAAACAACTTTGCCTGATTCTGTGGTGACAGAAAGAGAGAAAGAAAAACATGTCAGGAAGTCTGTCAACCTCTAGCAATCAATCCAACCCACCAGTGCTTGCAAAAACAATGTGAAGAGACCCATAATTACAGAGGATGAGAAAAACACCTTTTTTTGTGCTGGATAGGAAGCGTTTTGGTTTAGGCTTGACACTCTTTTTTACAGTGTTCTAAGTTCTAAAGAGCAGGTGTTGAAGGAATATTCACCTGAAAATGAAAATTCTGTCATCATTTACACACCCTCACACACTTTATGACTTTCTTTCTTCAATAAAACTCAAAAGGAAAAAAAAAATATTATTGTACCAGTGTCTCTTTTTAAGTGAGTGACGTGACATGTGGCCAAGTATGGTGACCCATACTTGGAATTAGTGCTCTGCATTTAACCCATCCAAAGTGCACACACACAGCAGTGAACACACACACCGTGAACACACAACCCGGAGCAGTGGGCAGCCATTTCTGCTGCGGCGCCCGGGGAGCAGTTGGGGGTTCGGTGCCTTGCTCAAGGGCACCTCAGTCGTGGTATTGAAGGTGGGAGAGAGTGCTGTACATTCACTCCCCCCACCTACAATCCCTGCCGGTACGAGACTCGAACCCCGCAACCTTTGGGTTACGAGTCCAACTCTCTAACCATTAGGCCACGACTCCCCCCCCTCTTTTTCATGCACTTAAAATTGCAACTGCAAAGAAAAAACAACATTAAAGCACATTTTATGGTGCTTTTTATCATTTTAGAGCTTAAAAGCCCCAGAACCCAGTCACTTAATCAATATTCTTCAAAGGTTCTGTGTTCAAAAGAAAGCAAGTCAAACCGAGAGTAAATAAACAATGACAGCATTTTCATTTTGGCCTGAACTAATCATTTAACACAGTGTAATATAATGCAAATGCAACTCACAAGGATTTTCTCTGCATTGAGTGAAAAGATGGACTCGCAGGGCGGGTTGCTCCCCTCTTCACAGTCCGGATCCTCCAACTGCAGGATAGCTGACTCTGAGGGACCAAAAAACATTCACCGGCTGTGACAGATAAAAGGCTAACCAGATAACTTTGGCTTGAACTAAACGTAATGAGTATTGTTTTTCAAAACTATACACCATCTAGATAACTGCTTTCTGACTGGCTTTGATAGCCAGTATAGATTTGTCCATGGATTTTAAAGGGATAGTTCACCCAAAAAAAAAAAAAAAATTTTTTAATCATTTTCTCACCCTCATGTTGTTCCAAGCTTGTATGAGCTTCTTTCTTCTGTTGAGCACAAAAGATGATATAGAGAAGAATTTTGGTAACCAAACAGTTGATGGTACCCATTGACTTCCATACTATGGAAGTCAATGGCTATATGGAAGTCAATGGCTACTGTCAACTGTTTGGGAACCAGCATTGTTCAAAGTACCTTCTTTTGTGCTCAACAGAAGAAAGAAACGCATACAGGCTTGGAACAACATGAGGGTGAGAAAATGACGACATCATTTTTGGGTGAACTATCTTTTTAAGGATGCCTACAAACTTTCCATTTCGACATTTGTGTAATTTGACTAGCTGCTACGGAGCAAAAGATAAATCTGTGCCAACATACCAGAATGTCTGATTAAATGCACAACCTTTGACATCAACAATAATATTTATTTTGCTTTCTTGAATATTTGAATATTATATAGTTAGCTGCACTATAGTCTTTTTCCTCTGCTTTTTATTATCTATAAAATTGTCTTCATATTGCTTCATACCTCTGTATCCATAATGCACAAATTAGCTCAAAAAGCATGAAATGTGACCCTGGAGCACAAAACCAGTCTTAAGTCGCTGGGGTATATTTGTAGCAATAGCCAACAATACATGGTATGGCTCAAAATGATCGATTTTTCTTTTATGCCAAAAATCATTAGGATATTAAGTAAAGATCATGTTCCATTAAGATATTTTGTAAATGTCCTACAGTAAATATATCAAAAGTTAATTTTTGATCAGTAATATGCATTGCTAAGAACTTCATTTGGACAACTTTAAAGGCGATTTTCTCAATATTTTTTGCACCCTCAAGATTCCAGATTTTCAAATAGTTGCATCTCGGCCAAATATTGTCCGATCCTAACAAACCATACATCAATGGAAAGCTTCTATCAAAAAATTGACCCTTATGACTGGTTTTGTGGTCCAGGGTCACAAATTACTTAAGCATGAAATTATTAAACAATCCACCAATAATAGGTAAGGTAACCTAACATAACCTAATCTCTTATACACTATGGAACACTTAAGTAAGTACATTATGTTCTTTCATTATGTGTTACTAGGATTGTAATTCAAGACTCCTTTGGATCAAAACACAACCTGAAACAGAAGACCCAGTCACCATGGTAATTTGGAAAAATGCCGTATTTACTTCCTATAGTTATTGTTACTATTGAAAACAGTGGACTCTTGCTAATTGTGTTTTCAAGGCACTCATTTAAGTTACTTCAAAGAATACCACTATCATCTCCAATCCCCACTGTAATGCCAAGCTACATCTGCTAAAAGCAATCTTGAACTCAGTGACACCCAATAAAAATGTTCTTGTTGCATGTTTATTTCGCCATTAGGACATGCATGAGGCACCGGGGCTTTGCATGCATGATCCGCATGAGTTTCTACAAGCATTTTGAGAGTTTCTGCATGTGTGACATGAGTTGCTGCATGCATGATGCGAGTTTCTCCCGTACGGTCTGAATTTCTGCTTGTATGATCCCGTCAAGCTCGTTTCACTGTAACGTTAAGCGGAAGAGAGTGAATCAGATGCACATTCTATACACCAGGACGTGGCAGAAGCTCACCGCAGTCCGCCGCATACTCCTCCCACTCGGCCGGAGAGCTGCAGCCGTGCTTGTGAAGGTCGCTGTTGAAAAAAGTCAAGGTGGAGAAATACTCGCTGGATAAAATAGCTCCGCATAAGTACAGCAGCGACAGAGCCGCCAGCACAACACCCCCGCCAGCAGGTGCCATGTTGTGAGTAATGTTATGAGCAGGTGAGGAACGGTGTAGTCTGGGTAATGTAGTTGCGTGGAACTAAATCCCTACTTCCAGCAGTGGTGACGGAGGATAAAAGAACTACATTTCCCGTCAGTAGCCTGATAAGCCACGCCTCTTATGGAGATTCAGGAAGCAGTAGGCGTGTTTTAGTGCTGTCATATGGAGAATGGCACCGGGACTGTTTAAATGCGTCGAGTGTAACGAAGATGCAAACGAATTGCATCGAGATTATAGCAACGGAATACTGAAGATCACCATATGTGTGAGTGCATCATAAAGTTTAGAATTTAAAGTTTAGTTTGTTTTCTCTGTACTGTTAGCATGGTTAGCATGCTCACAACAACATAGGCCTGAGGTAACGTTACTAATGCACATAGTGAAGAGCACGGCAGTTTGTCACTGTTACTTCAGTAAAAAAAAAAAAAATTCTGTATTTATGTTTTGTTTTGTTTTTTTGCTGGAAAAAAAAGAAACAGTTTCACCATTATTGCCCAGAAAAAAAACAGAAGCAAAGAAAACAAATACGGTCCCGTTGCAAATTATTGTTATTGACAGCGAGTACCTTTAAACATTTTTTAAAAACTCTATTGTCTGACGCTGTGAAGCCATCTTCCACGAAATATCTGCATTTGAAATATATTATAAGCTTTTAATGGCTTTCAGCATAATGTAAGTACGTTATAAAACCCAAAACAAATATTTCACGAAAAAATATGCATATACAAAATCAGTGTTTTAGCTAACATGAATTGCTATTCATAAACTGTCATTCAAAATTGAAACTAACTGATGTGTTTTTTTTTCTTTCTCTCTACAGAGTTCATGCAAGAAGCCCGTTGACAAATACATTGAATATGATCCAGTTATTGTTCTGATAGATGCCACTTTATGCAAAATCCAGGCCTTTAGACATATCCTCTTCAACACTGAGATCAACGTAAGTTAGGGTGACCATACGTGCCATTTTCCCAGGACGCGTCCTTGCCAGGATTTGTTTTGGCTTTGTTTTTTCCTGTTTCCATGCTTGCTGAAGGTAATGATCGAAAAGTAGTTTGACCAATAACATGCAGGCATTGTACATAATGGACCAATCATGGTGTGTGTGAGAAGGTGGGATCTACGGTCAAAGCGATGCAATTACGCGTACATAGGATGTGTGTTCGACTTAAAAGCAGCGCGGCTCAGATCGATCAGTGTTTGACATCAAAGTACCTCGAGAGCATTTTGAAAGCATAAGGAACCGTCTGTATGGTATTTTGATGTCATACACCGATCGGTCTGCACACGCAAACAAAGCCAAAACCTAGATATTTTAGGCAATATAGAAATCCTGGCCAGGACGCGTCCTGGGAAAATGACACGTATGGTCACCCTAACGTAAGTAAAACTTGTATACTCAGTTTTTTAAAGGGGTCATATGATGCTTTTTTAAAGATCATTATTTTGTGTATTTGGTGTAACAGAATATGTCGACATGCTTTAGGAAAAAAATATGCATACTGAAGTATACTGCGTGCCAAGTACAGACAGTATAAATAGTATACAAAGTATTGAGTTGTGAGCACAGCCTCTGTTCCTCTCTCTGTAGATCCACTGGAAACTGTGTGTGTTCTGTCTGCTGTGTGAGGCGTATCTGCGCTGGTCCCTCCTGCAGGGGTCCCAGGCCAGCGATGACCCCGCTGATATCATCCGTTACACTAAAGAGTGGGAGTTTTACTGCATGTTTGCACTGGCTGCACTGGGTAATTAAAATTATTCAAATGGACTAATTGAGATGTTGAGTAACAACGTAGCTTATGAAATCTTATGAAAGATTTAGGGGTTTGTAGTCTATCTGTTGAAAGGTCTATTCTGACTGTTCTGTAGGCTTACATTATCATTGATGATAATGTTTTACGGGAAAGGGTTAGTCCCCTTTAATTCCCCTTAAAAAAATCAAAAGGGGGAAAACATTTAGAATAAAGAAAAAAGTTTCTTACAGTACATAAACTACTGCTCAAGAGTTAGGGATAGGTAGGATTATTATTATTATTAATTTTTTTTTAAGAAGTCTGTTATGATCACCAAGGCAGAATTTATTTAATTAAAAATACATTATGAAATATTACAACTTAAAATAACTCTTTTCTGTTTAAATATATTATCGAATGTAATTTATTCCTGTGATGCAAAGCATCATTACTCCAGTCTTCAGTGTCACGTGATCCTTCAGAAATCATTCTAATATCCTGATTTTGTGCTTATAAAAACATTACTTATTATCAATGTTGAAAATTATTTTTATTTATTTTTTTAGATTCAGAACAGCTTTTATTTGATTTATCTGACATTTTTTGTAACTATATACAAGTCTTTCCTGTCACCTTTTTGATCAGTTTAATGCGTCATTGCTCAATGTAAGTGTTATTTTCCTAAAAATATAATAGGATCTGTTCTTTTACATTGCATTATTTTCTTACTGTAATATAGTAGAATTTTATTACATTTGTGAGAATGTCTAGAATAATGAGAATGGAGAAAAAAATCCAAAATTAAACATGTGGATGCCATGTAATTGTCATGAAAATAATAGCACCCTGCTAAAAGAAACCTTAATATCGTTTTCATTTTGCAAATTATTATTATTATTATTATTATACATGTACTACTCTTATTGTAGTTGCAATACAGTAATTAGAAACTGAGAATATGTTTTGCACTTTAGCATAATGAGAATTTGGGGGGAAATGTACATTATCATTAAAACAATGCAGAAATTCTCCTGTGTTCTTTGTGTTTTTCTAGAGTTGGCCGTGTTCTGCATAGGTGTGTTGTTCATTCTCTGGACAGCGCAGCGCTGCTGTGGTTGCTCTCTAGAATTCACTCCACTGTTGAAGGCACTTCTGCTCTCCAGCTACGGCAAAGTGCTGTTAATCCCAGCTGTCATCTGGGAGCACGATTTCTCCCCGCTCTGCTTCAGCCTCATACGACTGTTCGTCCTGACCTCCAATTCACAAGCCATAAGAGGTGAATATCAACTTTTATGGAGTCCATACACGTTAAACACACTGACAGGCAGCGCAAGATAACCGTAAACACTCTTTCATTCACATGAACACCCAGAGGCAACGTGAAAAGTCCACATCACACTCACTTTCTCTTTCCCACACATATGCGTTCGCACAGAGGATTGTATTGTTGGTCCGTTGTTTGCGTAAGGTCTTCACGGCTGTGCTAACCACCCCCAGCAGTTCCTGTAGTGTGTGCAGATGGTTCACCAACACTGTTATAGGGATATCAACAAAACATTGTTTATTTAAAGGGACAGTCCACATCAAAATGAAAATTGCCTGAAAAATTACTCACCCTCAGGGGATCCAAGATGTAGATGAGTTTGTTTCTTTGTCAGAACAGATTTGGAGAAATGTATCATTACGCCACTTGCTCGCCAGAGCATCCTGCAGTGAATGGGTGCCGTCAGAACGAGCGTCCAAACAGCTGATAAAAACATCACAATAATCCACAAGTAAAATAAAAAATCCACAAGCTGAATGTTTGTAATCCATCATTAGGATGTGTTTAACTTTAAACCGATTCAGTGAATAAGTGGTCTAGTCTGAATCCGGAGAGAAATATGCACGGTTTATAAGCAAAAGCACTCCAAAACAGGTATGCTGAGGGCAACAGAGGACAGACTTTTTCACTGGAGGAAATGTTATTATGGTTTATGGACTGGCATTTTGGCCAGAGGCTATGGTTTAAAGCAAAATAGCATAGCCTTAATGATGGATTTGTTTCTTGTAAACACAGTTTTTCACTTCACAATAGGCTTGCCGCGATAGATGGTGCTGACGAAAAGAAACGAAAATGCAAAAGCACCTGTTTGGCACTATTTAGAGTTTTTGAAAAGCCTGCTGACTTTTGCCGTTTATCTAAGGTGATTTTGGAAGTTTTTTTTTTAAACATTCGTTTCTTATTTAATTGGTTCCACATTGTTTGCTGATTTTTACTTTATTTAAACTTTGTGTCATTTATTTATTTTATTTGACATCAGGGTGTATGCCGTGCCTCCAAGCTTTCTTACTCGTTTTGCTAATAAACGTTCTATGTTTCTTATTTATTTGGTTATATATTATACATATTTACTTGTTTCCAGTTTTGTACATTTAAACTTTATGTAAGTTATTTGTTATTTTATATTAGGCATAGCCTGCCCTATAGCATGGTGTATTTTTATTTGTTTTGTTAATAAAAGTTCTATGTTTTATATATAGGCTAAAGTGAGTTTGACGTTGTATTTTGTTGTTGCATTCGAGCAATTGACGCCTAATTGACGCTAATTCGAAAGTGAAAGTAAAATGCGCACGGTGCTTTTAAGCTATTTAAAAGTGAAGGAAAGTGAGGAAAAGAGGGAACGCCCCCGCGGTGATATCGGTATTACCGGTGTTGTCACACGTCGATTCACCGGTGGGAAAATTTCCTCACCGTCACAACCCTACTTCACAAGACATTAATTGATGGGCTGGAATGGTGTGGATTACTGTGATGTTTTTACTCTCATTCTGACGGCACCCATTCACTGTGAACTTAACTACAACTTGGGTGGTCTCAGGGTGAGTACTTTTTTGTTTTTTAGCAAATTTTCATTTTTGGCTGAACTTTTCTTTTAATGGTGATTAATTTTGGCACCTGAGTGACTGGTAACCAAGACCTAACCAAGAAAGAAAGAAAAAAAAAACACTATAAAGTTAGTCCGCTACATTGTGATTTTTCTAAAAATATATGATAATATAAAAAATTATCAAAGTGTGGGCAAATGTTAGTGTTCTTTAGCACATCTGGACACAGCTGAAAGATGCTTTAAATGTTTTGTAATGTATATTTCAGTGACTTGCTATTCTTGTCATGTGGTGCAACCGACATGCAGGGAAAAATATAAAACATGAAATTATATTATAGCGTGAACACCTGCAAACCCTTATGACTGTATGTCAATAAGTGTACAAATATTCGGAG